AAAGCCCTCCTTCCACTGCTGTACGTACCTATGTTATAAATAGAGACCTGAAAATATCTGTTTTTACTGTTATTATCATATTTCTTCCCTTGTTTTGACATTTAGCTGTTATCTACACCGCACACCCACTCTCTGTGGTCTGCAGATCAATAATTCAGACAGCTTGGTTTTAAAACTGCAAAATCTGATTTAGAAAAGTAGTGTCAGTTGCTTTGTAATCCTAAGCGTTCCAGAAATTCTTAAAATGCTTGAAGTAAAACAAAATCTGCTTCTAAAAGAAGTTCAGAGTCAATATAAAACTAAAAATAATCGTTGGTCTTCAAAATCCACAATAAATCAGTATTCTTTATCAACTCAACAGCACCAGCTCATACTGCACAAACACACACATTACATGGACGGAACTGTAGAAGATTGAATAAGAACGCCTCAGATCCAATTTGATGTCTGGTACCTCTATATTCTGGGCTACATGGAGAGGACATCATTTTTTATTTGCAATCCCATGGTATAAGCCCTGACTGATTTCTGTATCAGTTCTCAATGAATGGTAACGCTAACAATAACTTCCACCCCATTGATCCTAACAACTTTGAACACAACATTCAAACCCCATTCAAGCTGCAGTGTAATCTCTAGTAAGCATCTTACCAAACGTGAGATGGAACAATAATACTGTGGCCAAACCAATCGCAGGAATTCCCAAATCTTTTTAAAAATAATCTTTTTTGTTTACAATCTCTTTTCTGAGCCAATTTAAAAAGAACTTCATTTTGTCTGTAATTCTAGTTAATGCTGTCTGGAATTCTTAATGTAGGACTGATTTTATGTCAAATGTTAGAGAGAAATGAAGCCATTGTAAAAATTCACCTCAGAAGTTCAGCATGATAAGTAAAATAGACTTATTCATTACTTTCACATAAGAGAAAGCTTAAAATATACTCATTGGATAAAAACTAGTCAGTTTATGAAAATCTGAAATATAATTAGCTAAAAGACCTAGTAAGCCATAATCCTATGTTCTACACTAGTTCCCATTTCTAAGTAGATGTCTTTCAAAAAATACTGAAGGAAAAAGCACGGTAATGATCTTTCCTCACTAGGAAGTTAATGGGTTGTATGGACCAGATGACTGGGCAAAAGAAGGACATTTGGCTTAGATCAGTCTGTACCACAACATAATGCCCACCCAAAAATATTGAGAGATAAATATAAGTAGAAACTAAGCTACTGTCTCTGAAAGCTAGTTCCTGAAAAATGGCATATGGGACTCTGTGGGAAGCTTGCATTTTGCTACTGGCTATCTGTAAATGTTAGAGTTCAGGCTTCAGGGCTGACAGTCTGCTCTTTGTCAGGAATGGTACAATTCAGGGATATTAAAAAGAGAATATAAGTGGTAAGTGTAGGTGGTTCTTTTAAACTACCTTCAGAGAATAACATTTAAGTATTATCTTCCAATATATATGTATTTATAGCTACTTGGCAATCATGAAGATAAGAAAGATTAGATGTGTAGATGTGTATTTATACAAACAACAAACCACCTGGCAATGCAAAATATGTCTCTTGCTATTTCTCATGCTAACAATTTTGGGGGGCATGCAATAAAGTACTGCATAGTGTACTCACTAAATCTATACACAAAGGCCTCACAGAAATTAACAAAAGGTGGGAGGACTGAATTGCTCAGATTTTGCAGCTGCAGAAATCAAAATCAGCCTACTGTGTAACAGCACAGTAAGTGTTCTAAGATGTGCTTTGAAAAAGGTAGACAAACTCGCCAGATATGCCTTGTCTTTATTCTGGAGATTTTTTTCACACAGTTTTAATGTGCCCCTGGATAACATCTTCTGTTTCATCATATAGAATTGTTATCGAAGCATACAAAAAGAGCTTCAGACACAAGAAACTAAGAAATTAAGTTTAGCTTAATGTTCTTTTGAAACCTTCAAAACAAAGTAAAAGAAACAGACTTCTATATGTTAATAATATACTAGAAATATTTTACTTAGTGAAGCCAACAGTCATAAGATGTGCTTTCTGCCCTTAACCTGTCCCCTGGAGATGACATTTAGGTTGGGAAGGGCTTTTTGGAGGTCATTTGTTTCAACACCTGTTTCAGACTTGGCCACCTTGCATTGTATTGCTTACAGTCATGGCCAATAGAGTTTTGGGTATCTCTAACAGGATATTCTACCACTTCTCTGGACACCAAGAAATACTCTTATTTGCATGTCGGAGGTGTGACATCAATTAAAAAAAAAAAAAATATTTTTTTTAATTGCTAAAGGGATTCTGCTACTAATGCAGAACTCTGACCAGATGCTAAATTTCCATTTGGATGCCTTTCCAGTTCCCAAAAGGAGGCATTTTAATTTCAAGAGACCTTGTTCTGTACATGTAAAACTATCTGTTTAAAGTTAAAATTATTTATGCCACACAAGGATTCAAGAAGTACATATATTCCTAGGACACTAGAGAAAATCCTTCTTTATCGGCTGTCAATCTCAGTATGAATGCAAATAGCAAAATTTATTGTTGGAGAACTTACATACTCCTACAATCACAGTGAATGTCTGACACTGCTTATTTTGCTGAAGTTTTTAGAAAATCAAGTTGCCAATATATTGCTCTGGGAACAGTCAAGCTAAATCATCTTCATTGAAAAGCAGGACTTCTACACTAAATCTTAGCGTTCCACCAAACCAGAAGTTTTGATAAGTTCTTCTGTCTACATTTCCAGACAGGCATATAAGATTGTTCACTTGAGCACATAATTTGTATTAGTGTTAGTAGTACTAAAAAAAAAAAAAAAAAACCATACTCTGGTATTTTGAGTCAGTATCATTGACCAGATCTTTAGTCAAGTGTTACTACAATCTTTTCCAAAATAAATAAATAAAGCAGTTACTGTTTTATTCATTTTTCATGGCAGTAATTTACTGCACAGACAGGAATGACTATAAACAAACAGGGTTTGTTTGCAGGACTGAGTATTTCCTGAAAATCAGAATTTCACTAACTTCACTTTCCTTCCAGTTGTAGGTAGTGACACTGGAAGAAGCAGATGGGTTCGGTCTACATGGTTCTCTGGCTGGTGTTACCAACACAATTTTGCCTTTTTGATGATGGGATGGCCTACTCAGTACCAGGCTTGCTGGCATCAGATGGGATTCACCTTTCTGAAAGGAGGAAGGGGGCCTTTGCTCCCAAGCTAGAGGGGCTCATTGATAGAGCTTTAAACTAAGCTTGCTAGGCGAGGGGGAAAATATCAGGCTTGCCCATTACAAGTTGTGGGATGAAACCCCAAGGCCAGAGGGACAGAGTGCTAGCGAGGGCCCTCAGCCTGTTGCCGAGATATGCTGGCTACACTGCAGCACACTTGAAGTCTTACAGAGATGAGCCAGGGGCTTCAGAGATAATAGGAAACACCAGTGAAATACCTCAGAAGAATTAAAGAGTGCTCCTCTAAGAAGGTGACACACCTGACAGCCCAGCTGAAGTGTCCCTACACCAATGCATGCAGCACAGGCAACAAACAGGAGGAACTGGAAGCCACCATGCTGCTAGAAAGCTACGAAGTAGTTGTCATTACTGAAACCTGGTGGGACAAATACCATGACTGGAGTGCAGCTATTGATGTCTACAAGCTGTTCAGAACCGACAGGTGAGACCCCACCTGTCACCATCCCTGGAGGTATTTAAAAGATGGGTAGATGTGGTGCTGAGGGACATGGTTTGGTGGCAGACTTGGCAGTGCTAAGTTAATGGTTGGACTCTATGATCTTAAAGGTCTTCTCCAACCTAAACAATTCTGTGATTCTATGGAAGAAAAATAATTTTAAAACTTTACTAAAACAACAGTAATGGTACATGAGAAGAGTGAAGAGGACTGAATGGAAACAGTCCCACTTACCTGTTAACTATAATTTCTATCTTTCTTTTGTGGATAAATATAATCTCACAGTCTGAAGGCTATGCACTCTAACTCTCTGTTAATATATCTGTTTCAGAATATTATGATATGGAGCATTTTAATCCTTCTCATGATCCAGTGCACAGACACAAATACTCTCAACTATTTGAAATACTTATGTACATGGAATTATTTAATAGAGAATCCACATAGAACATATGAAATATGTAAGCTTATTTGCGTGACTACACACGCATATGTTTCGGTGAGTTTATGTGTGTCACATATTCACACACACACACAATGACTCAAAAAACACCAAAGAATTCTTAGAAATAGCTTTTAGTTTGTTGGGGGTTTGGGTTTTTTTTTATATCAGTGTCAACTGATATTTCATGAAGTTAATTCAGTGAAGGATAGCTTTAAATCAATGACAGTACTGAGCAGTTAAACTAGAGAAACAATGAAGTATTAAGAAAAAAGATTTTCACCTTTACTGTCTTATTCTTATGTATCTATTTTTAGTAGCATATTGTATATACTCTATTTTCAAAATATCTACTGATAACATCAAACTACTGTGAACCAAGTACACAAAACTCTACAAAATAGAATTTTAAGATAAATTCTATTTGTGAATGTAACCTTATAAAAGAGTATCAAAAAGGCAACAGGCCATGGTATTAATTTAGCAATATATGATGTTATATACAGGCCACTTTATTTTTAAGAATTATGAGCTAAAGAGAAAGGTACTGCACATTCACTCTTGGCTGAACAATGAAATGATAAGCGTAATATAGAAGATAGGACTTAAAGATAAAAATAGTATATTGCAAAAGACTAAGATCATTTGCTGAAGCTCAGAATCTGAGCTAGGTAGTCTTAAAAAAAAAACAACCCGGTGTATTGCACAGTGTTCAGTATTACCATTTGTAGCATGTCAGACTCTCATCAATAATCATAAATTACCTAATTCATAACAGCTACAAACAAACATACAGATTCTGTCAGCTTCCTGTCTACAATAATTTAATGTACTTTACACATTAACTATGCACAGTGTGTAAAACTAACAACCTACTTTGTAACCTCCGTGTGGGACTCTCACCATGGAGCTGTCTGCGTGGCAAATATGGTGAGGGATGGGGAAGTGGCAATGAAGAGACATCATGCGTTTGAAGTTTGTACCAGTGAGGTTCGTCATCTAGTAAAGCTGTCTCTAACTCAATAAGAATCTAAAAAAGAAAAAATGGTTAAAAGTAGGAAAGCATTGCATAACGGAATATCTTAAAATAGGTATGTTCATAAATTTCATTCTATTGTTCGCTTATTGTTAAGGACTTTGTCTGAAGTTTTTATAAAAATCTAGCATTTCATATGCAAGTAATACCTGTGCCTTTTACAACACTATATATATAAAAATCTTTCACAAAACCTTTATTACCTTATGACAACCTTGACAGTATTCAAATATCTTGTAGCAACTTAGTCAGCAAGATTCCATCATTTTGGTAACATAAAACTATGGGTAATATGGATTTTAACAAACAATTCTAAAAGAAATTGAGAAACCACCAGTATTATGTGATAAGTTCAAGATTACTATTTGTTTACTACTATGTTAAATAACGACAAATAAAACAATTCTAAACAGTTTTGTTTGTTATATTAAATATTGTTTTCAAAAACACTGTATCTAGACATGAATATGTGAAAGACTGTATTCTATAATAGCTACCAATAATTTTATACCTCTCCTAAAAATTCACTTTCTTCCTCTCGAACTCGTGCTTGGTCCCAAAGAGTAATTTCTAGCATTCGTTCTCTAAACTCTCTCCGATGAACTGGAGAATAAATGAATGTCTGATTCCACTTAGGTTCCAATGTTTTCTTTACTGTTTTTGTTCTTCTTTTATTTTTATCACTGCAAAAAACAATTAAATATTAAAAATGCTCAAAAGACCATTATACTGTAATAAGTATATAATGGGAAGTAGGAAATCTTAAATCAGCACTGCATTTTGTAGCATTATGGGCACTATAATCTATGTCAGGAGTAGTTCTTTACGATAAAATAAGGTGCAGCACATACATTCAGGATAATTCATAACTTCCTATTAAAACCTAACATTAGGTAATTTCCAATTCATGTGCCAATTCCAATTTTAAGAAGTTCCCTGAAAAACAGACATGTTTTAATATGCTTTTTTTGGAAACGGTGTTTTCTAAAGCAAAATATACTTCTGTAAATGGGATTTCCATGAGGCACAGTCTGACAGCAGAACACGTATGCAGGTAACATTGGGCATAGCAAAAATCTGCATTTCAGAGAAACGAGCCAGCTGGTTCACTCAAGCTTCCAGTCCTCCAGCAGCTGACTCTTAAACTGCAGAGCAGGAGGGAGCAGCTGGCCCACATGAAGGAATGATCAGGGAGCTGTAGGTATTGTGGGGCCTTCTCTGCACTGTTTTCCTGACTAAGGGCTCCACAGCTGGGAAACCAGAAGCCCTGAGAATGTGTTACATGTCCTTTTCCAGCAATGCTGGAAGGAACAGTGTTCTCAAAACAGCTCTTGAAATCCTTTGGGTCACCCCAAGGATCCACCCAGGCTGAAGGTATGTTCAGGAGCCCAGTGAGGACCATGGAACTCCCAGCTGCGGCTCCAGGGTGTTGTTGAAAGCAAAGTGTTTTGCAGAATATTTCTGCTTGAAAGAATTACTTTTTTCTGATGGAAATGACTTTCGCTGGAAAACACCCGCACTCCTTCTACTGAGAACACTGATAAAAGTTCTTGTAACAATGCTTAATTTTAAACCTGCTGATCGCTGCATAATGTAACTGTGATATTAATTAATGTGGATTTTTTAATATGGCAATGCAGATACAGTTTGCTAATACTTGCAACTGTAATATAGTTATTGCATTTCTAAACTGTTACTTAGAAGCTGGACCAAAATATTAAATAAGAAATAATACTTTTAGACACATTGTTAAAACAAATAATGTAATTATTTCTATTACACCCTTGAGAACAGAAATAAGTTACATTGGACAAGCTTTTCCAATGAAATTTGTTTAATCAGAGAGTTTGGTATCTTCATCTAATTTAATGCTTGGCTTTAGTATGTTTTACCTCTAGCACGCTTCCTTCAACTACACAAGAAACACATTGTTGCTTACTTAGTTTTTACTTCTAAGGAAAGGAAAATGAATTTGCACGTCAGAAAAAAAAAATTCAGTAAGACAAATTACTGATTCTTATATAAGTGATAGAAAACATATATAATAACTAAAGAAAAAGTTCTGAATACTTCACATAAGTGGGAAACACCAGTATAGCATAATAAAATTTCATGTTATGTAACTTTTTTGTATATGTACACTTGAAAGTATTTGATTAAATTTTTTCTTGTATGTATTTTTAGTTATTACAGCTTTCATTGTGAAGCATTCTGAACACAGACGTTTTCGGTAGCTTTATTAATCTTGAAAAAAGCAGATAAGATCATTTAAGCAGACCTGATTCTCAGTTTAGCGCAGCTTCAGCATCTCCAAAGACACTACAGCGATTTGGAAAAACTAAGAAACTAGTCCAACAATACAAATATTGGTGAGCCCGAGACAATCCATCCAAAAACTTTTGGCATCAATGACACATCAAATTATGCAGTCACAGAAAATTTTCTTGTCAACATAGGGTATACAATGGAAGTGGGAAAGCAGTATCTTCCAAAACACTGAATAGCTTTAATTTCTGCTGAAGTCAGTTGGCACTGAAGATAGTTATCATCTTCCCAATTTAGATATTGGGAAAAGCAAAAGATGTAAAAATAAAAACTGTAAAGTTACATCCTATTCTATTGATTCAGCAATACAATGGCCAATCTTTTATATACTGAGTCAGGTTAAATCTCTGAATTACTTTGTTGATACACTACAAAATAAAGCTAAACATTTTCCCCTAGTGACACAATCTGAAGAAATATCATTTAAAAAAAAATAAACTGAGAAACACATTATCCCTATCACCACAGTTTAATTTTCCCTAAATGCATATATAATGACTGTCCATATCAGTATAATTCCTGTGCTTTGGGGGAAGTTTTCAAGGTGCATCTGGGAAGTCTCAACTGAATCCCCTTCAGCCTTAACTCACTTATGCTGTGATATGAAATCTATGGGTTTCAGATGACAAAACTGCTGCACTGATGGCTCCAGAAGTCTGTGAACCTAACTTTATAGCATCTTCATTGCACGAGACAAGAATAACTGTCATAGAAAATAAGGGCATTATAACAGATTAACAACATTCTTTGCAAACAACAGAGCCCCATGCAATGACGTATGTTTACCTTTCCTTTTCTATTCAGTATTTAATAAAATATCCATTGAAAGTGAGTTTGTGTTTAGTATTCAAAGACGCAATGCTGTTATGTTCAATACAAGAACTCCAAACTGTAAGATTTTTCTGCATATGTATGACCAGTAAACTCAGCTGTGTGTGCCATATGAATTAATTCTTACTTAAATGTTCTTTGTCTTCACCCTACCTTCTGTCTGGAAGAAAGTAAATTTTAACATAAGGATTCCTTGGCCTCCCATCTTCCCTTGAAGGAAGATCCTTTGCTCCCAATATCGTCACTATTAACTGATGACCAACCTTGTCATACCACAGTTTTATCTGCAATGAGAAGATATTAATTAGTGAAAACTCATTTCTACAGCAAAGCAGCATATTAATCCTTAAAATTAATTTTGCTCATAAGCTTCCATTTGTATTGGTTACTTAAGCAGAAAATACCATGTTCTACTTTGTATTTATAACAAAGCATAAAAATAAATTAATACTATAATAGCTTCAGTATGTACCAGGAGTTACTCTTTTTTAAAAACCCTGTACAATAAGTACGTTATTTCATGCTAATTGTTTTTCACATGGTGGTCTGGTTAGGATTATTTTTTCTTGGTAGTTATACTGTATTACTTGCATTACTGATGTATGGTATTCATATATATACATTTCTAAAGAGTTTATGCACAATGAATGAATGAATTTTTCATGTCCTGTTGTGCTGGAAAGACTATGGGATAAGACCATAAATACTTCAAATCTCTAAATGGTTTTCAAGATGCAGAGCCCTCCAGAAATTGTAAGACAGGGAGGTTCAGTAGTCCAACCCTCTTCACAGTCCAACTCAGCAACAACAAGGCAAAAACTGTAGAAATTACTCATCTGTAGAAATTATCATTAACCAGTCTCAGACTCATTCTGCTATCCTTTTTTTACTACAGGCATTAGAAGCTGCTATTTACCTATTCCAGTTTGAATTCTAGAGCTGCAAATACATTATTCAAGGAGAAGATATACCTACTTTAGAGCACTCACTGTGGAAGGGGGAAATGCTGCAGTTAGGACGAAACAAATCTTTCCAAATAGCCAGGGTGCAATACCATGGTGGTACCACTGCGGTATCATTAACTGCACCTGAGAGAGGACACTATTCAAAGGGAGTTTGCCTGAGACAAGCTAGAATATTCAAAGGAAACACTGACCCTGCCTGAAACTAAGGGGATCAAAGAGGATAATGTCCAACTTCACATCTAACCAAACAATGCACCTTTAGGCATGAACATACCCTAGCTAACGTAAACATAGCCAGGGGAGAGTACACTTTCTGGAACCCCATCTTGCATCATTTCAGAGACAAGGTCTCCATCTGCTATCATAGCTCCTCATCTTCAGCATATCAGTCACTTAAAGAAAGGTCTTGATGCAATTTTCAAGACTTTGTACCCACCAACTAGAGGCTGATTTAGTCTTCTGCCATTCCTAGCGTTTCAGTGAGTGAGATTACACTAAGACACGTCAATTAATTCAATGGTGGCAGTGCACTGCCTTCTCCATTACTTTGCAACATCTTGCAACTCCCATAACCACAAAACAGAAATGTTTGAACTTATATTCAAAAGGGGAGGATACTTGTCCTCTATTATCCTGCTGTTAGCCCTATTACTGACTTTATAGGTTTCTGCTACCAACAGTAGCTCTGTGGCTACTAAAGCAGAAAACCGTGTGAGAGAAATTATGCTTATTCAAGAGACTTATAGATGCTGTTCCTACATTTCTGCAAAGCAAGGGCCTTAGTCAGTATTTTTTCTAAAGAGAATTATCTGGACTATTAGGTATCTACATCCAGCTACAGATCACAAGTAGAACGCTTTGCACTAACTTTACGAATCCAAAGCAAAGCTTTAATGACCTCTGAAGTGCAAGTCAACTTAAATGTTCTCTGACACTAAATGTATCCACCCGCAGGCTTACTTGTGAGTCCTTGAGCAAAGGACATACTTGGCTGGTCCCACACCCCGAGGGGAGTAGCCATGAATACAATCTTCTTCATCTGCTTTTTTGGGAAAAATTATCCTTGCTTAAGCAGAATGCAATGTATTTGTGATCCAGCCACTATCACAAACTGTGACTGAGTGAAGGTGAGATAATCCAGACACAGGCGCCAGAAATATAACCAGAACTGTGCCTTCATATTCAAGTTAAATATTTCTTCGCTATATTTGTTTCAGACTGGATTTTTGCAGGAAAACTTCAGCCAAGATGTTTGGAGAATGACTCTAAGCAGAAAGTTAGACTGCCTGACACAATTTCTTTGAGATGCTCTAGCATCTGTGTTTTGGGACAAGAACTTGAAATTGCATTGACTTATACCTTCTACGTTTTTCTTGATGCTCTAAAAATAAATTGGAAAAACTTCTACATAATGGGCATATTTTCCCTATAATTCCCTGCTGGTTTGCTTGTTACAGGAAAGGTCAGGAGACAGAATTATGACCAGGCGGCTCTCTCTTTTCTGCCTTCACACTGCTAGCACTCCAATATACAGTACAGGAACTTATAACCCAAGAAGTCATTTGACTTGGATGCAAAAAGAAGAAAGGAAAAAACTAGGAGTGAGAGAACAGACAAAGAACCCCATGGAGGAGAGGACAGGATTGCTTTCTCATGGGGATAGAAGAAGGAAGAAGGAACAAATCAGAAACTGCTTTAGAATTATTGGGAAAGTAAAGGATACAGGATGCTCCTTGGTGAAACAGGAAGATTGGAGCCACTAATGTCAGGGATCATAGAAGAACAGTGGCAAAAACAGACTGAATGAGAGAAATGGAATGAACTGAAAAAAGAACCAGCCATTCTGTAACTGGCACAAAATGTGTTGCACAGAGAGACTGGGATGAAAGAAAAGCTGAAAAGAAGTCAAGGCAGGAAACTGGAAAGGAAAGTGAGAAACAAGGAGTTAGATTAGCATACTGAACGTGGAAAATGAGTCTGGGAATAGGACTGATCTAATTCTGACTCTCTTGTGCATTAAGTATTATGACAGTATTCAAATGGTATAGTATTTTCCTATAAGAACCTTGTCTTTTCTATTCACATGGAAAGGACTGCCATTTAATACAGCCAGATACAGGCCAAGAGGACTGGATTTCATCCCTTCCTCTTTCCCAGAGCTCTTGTGTACTGGGGGTGGAGCCCTTAATACATTTCTAGAAGTATTCACAAATTGCCTGTTCTTCATTGTCTGGAAGCCTGGCATGAGACCCTGGAGCCTGATTTGTAGTGCAAAGTAAAGTCTTGGAATTGAAGTCTGAGGTGTGTATTACACCTGGACGGAACCTGGTTGTCTCAGACTCTGATCGCAGTTTTTCAGTTCTTAACCAATAAATGCAGTAAATCCTACCACACCTCATAGAATATTATAGATATTTTATGTTGTGAAATAAACATGCAATAGCGTATGTGTAACAGAAAAGCTGATGAGGAAATTATTTTTTTGTTTTATAGCTTTGTTGACTAGTATGCAGAGAAGACTCCTAACACCAAAAAGTGAAGAACTTTTAATTATTCAATCCACAGGGTGAAAGCCCCACAGGAATGTAGAGGTATGATGCCCAGCACCGAGAGACTTCAGCAGCTAACTAACTGAGCAGAATCTACAAACCTCCAATTCAGCAGTTTTTAACACATGCAGGAATGGCACTTTTAAAAGCTTAGAACACCTCAGAAACTGCAATGATACAATCCTGATCTAAATGAAGGGAAGACTAAAATTACTACACATAAAATACACCATAGAAAAACCGTGCTGGCTGATGCTAATGTGCAGATTAACACCTGTAAAAAACTTCTTGAATAGGACTTTGTCAACCTAGATAATTTAGAGACTAGGCAATGCAAATTCACTTAGAAAGTTGGATAACCTGAATGCTTTCTAAAGATCTTTCCACTTGGTGTTGAAGTCCTGGAAACTTAACTGTCATTCACACCCTCATAGTACTTCCCTTCCCTAGGCTCCTTCCCTAGGCAGATATGCACCTAATTCTTGACTAAACTTCTGTCATAACCTACATTCAGGCAAACAGGCATCTAAACTCAATGTGTCCTGAAATTGTGAGATGGTCTGTCATCCACAGAGTGATGAATCTGCTGCACGCCTTGAGACAGACCTCCAGGTAAGAATACTTGCCATGCAGAGCGCAAGTAACAAGAACTCTTCAGCAGTCAGGTGATGAAGGTAGTCATCAGAAGGAAGAAGAGATGAGGGTCTCATCCCAGCTTCGTAGAATTCTTTCTAGTTTTTTACCAATAGTGGTCTAATACAAGATCAATACACATTCTGGGTAACAAGTCTGAATCTGCTACACTAAAATTAAGCTTTCTTTGCTATCACCAAATACTTATATTCCCAGGCACACAGTATCTCGGCTTCAGATGAGACTTTATACTCCAGAGAAGAAAAGAACATTTAAAGGCACTTTAAATAAAGGCTTCTTTTTTTTTTAAGAGACAGGTTCAATCTCTTCAGTCTATACAGGGCTTAGACCACAGATGTCCTGGTTTTGGAATGAGTCTCCTACACGTAGAACAGTATACAAAAGCTAACTGTTGGTGTTGCATCCTAAGTGAAGATGCAGGCATCTAGTATTCCTGTTTGGTCCTCTGCAGCCTCAGAAAAAGATGTCTCCCTCCGGACAACTGGCTCACCCTCTGGAGTAGCCTAACTTTCAGATAGAGTTAATGGGGATAGGTGTCCTTATTTGGGTTGGATCTTACATCTGCAGATATTGAGGTACTTAGTTCTTTCCTCCAACTGTACAAGTCTAAGCTCCTCCCCAAAGCACCTCAGACTTATATGAAGCTAGCATAAGTTATACAATTTAAGGACATACGTTCAGTTTACTAGATTTCATCCTTTTTCTTTTAGAACTCATCTTAACTAGACATTTTATTCAAAGAACTGATTGATGTCAGAGTTCTAGAAAAGAAGTGATCATGCAATTAGAACCCGTAATCTAATACATAAGCATAAAGTAAATCACTTAAGAAAATCTAGGTAATATTATTATTATTCCTATATTCCTATCTCATCAATATTTTACTGTTTGCTTAACTATACAATTCTAATGTGTTTTTTTTTTAAAGTACATACAGGCACACCATATCTTAAGTGATAATTTTAGATTTAAAAGCAGAATATTTGAAGTTTTTCATTCTATCCTACACTTTATTTCTTTACATAAAGATTGCTTCATAAATCTCATGGAAAAGAGATAAAACTTGTGCCATTGGGAGAGATCGTCTGCCCTGCAGCTTGATTTCTAGCACCACAGCCTACTCAAGTATCACTAGGTTTGAGAGACATCTGGCCAGTCATTTTTGTTCTTCTGTATAATTTTTCATGTAAGCTACTTAGCTGTTTATTAGTGTAATATTTTGAAACTGAGATACTACTTTTCTTTCTTTCTTGCATTATTCTGAAACAAGAGACACACCAGCAGGATCTGTTGCAAAAAGACAATATAAAAAAAAATCCCAGTTTATTTTCAAAAATGCTTACAGCAATCATTTTATTTGGATTTAAGATTATGTAGATGCAGAAAGTGCCCTAAGGTAGTAAAGTTTTCGGTGTAGCTGAGGTGAGCTTTGGATGTTGTTAAACTTACTTCTAAGAAATCATGACTACTGAGGGTTGCTAAACCAAACTATTATTGTTTTCTGTTTCAGTTACTGTCTGATATGCTAGAAAAAATACAAGAAAAGGCTGTCAAATTGAAGAGCTTCAAGGATGTGAAGGCCAGAAAATTACGGAGGTATTTCGGCTGCCCGAATCTAGATTTCTTTTAAAAATTTATTTTTTAGGGGCTTCATCTTGATTTCGATAATGCCAGATAGATGCATGCATATATTTTTATTCGTGATCAAACATACTGATGTTCTGTATTAAAGGAAAAAGGATGTTTGAAATATTTGAAGTTAAAAACCCCCAGTGGTTTCATGGCAACTCTGGCTCAAAAGGAGGGTCCACCAAGTAAACAAGAGATACTGCATAGAAAACACAAATTTAAGAACAGATTGTTCCTTACAAATGTATTGCAACGCATCGCTCCAGAATTAGAAAACTGCTGGTAAGCTAAACTGAATTTGAAAGTTCAGGAATTGAAGAGACACTTTTCCAAGTACTGTAGAATTCATAAAGGTTCAGGAGAAGTGTGCATGGTAGGAAAAAAAGGAAATTGAGTGCTTTTCTTCCCAATAAAATAATAAAGGTAGTTTCTAAATCATTCAGTGATACAAGAGCTAGAAAATGAATGGAATTACATAGAGGGACATGTAGCAGAGGAACTTCTGCCAGATTCTGGGACATTTATCACCAGGATCAGTTTCAGACTAGCAAGCAAAGAAGATGCAAGCAAGAATAAAGATGTACATTTCCTGTTGAGAACAATGAAACAAATAGGTATAAACAGAAATGTTTGGAGATCTTCATTCTTGTAGTGAATTCTACAGACACAGCTATACCACAGCCCACAACGTAATGTATACTTCCTGACAACCATAAACAACAGCTCAGAGCTCTGTGTTAGCTAATTTCTCATGCCAAAAAGTAACCAGAGTTCTGTACTGCTGCTGGATTGCTTCTAATATCCTTGCTCTAAGATCACTGGAGAATTTCAGTTCTTCTCTGCAGCCTGAATTGTAAATGTATTTTAAATTAATCCATTTTAAACTGTCTACCAGCCCTACTAAAAGTGGGCAGATGGGGACTTTTGTTTCGGTCTAGTTGGAAAGATGTTGCCAAGGTCATAAGTTTGAGTTTTTCAGGAACTCATCACAAACATTATGTTCAGCTTTCACTGTTACTGAGCTCTGCAAAAAATCGTTAGAGAGGTACACAATGATTCCACAGACATTGTGCAGAAACAAAAAATTGGGGCTAAAGATAACTCTTGTCTCCAGTATCAAAAATAATGCAACCAGAGTTGAGAGAGTAAGCCTCATGCACTTTCACCTCTTGCTGGGTAGTGTCTATCAAGCATTACACTTGTTTTACTTTCTTAAACAACTACCATAATCCTTTGATCAAAGTAACTCTTTTTTATATTAGAGGACAATTTTATGTCTATTTTTTTTATTTTATATAATATGGTTAAAATAAGGAACTACTACATGTTACTTCTACATTACAGTATTTCATGAAACATGCAGGTTTCAGGCAGATCTGAACAATCAATTGTCATTATCATTTTTTACTTTATTTTGCACACATCTAAAAAGAAAATAAATATTAAAAGACTACTTATGTTATATACAATATTTACTTTTATGAACTACTTAACAACTTGTGGTTGAATTTGTACCCCTCTTTCATTTCATTACCATGAGCAGAAGTCAACTTTAATCATGCTAAAGGATGTTTTAAATTTTTAATACAAAGCCAGTTTATGTCAGTAGTACATTAATAATATGTTAACCTAAACCATTACTATCAATACATTACTTCTTTAATCTCATTTTTTTTCTTAGAATTTTTATTTTGAATTTACATTTAAGCAGTTGTGAGGACTAATTTCAGGAAATAATGTATTGTAAAAAAAAAAATAGTACTTTATTAAATATAAGTCATAACCAAACCATTTCCTACAGTCTTATTTAGAATTCCTTTATAAATATATATATATGATCTTTGTCCCACTTCAATATGAAATTTAGTCATCTCATTCTGATCATTTAGATTATCCTTTACATCTTTCTTTGAGCAACTGATCAAACAAGAGAAACATTTATACAGCTCACACACAAAAGATCATCTCCATAAAAATATTTTGTAAGAAAAGCAGGTAATGTTCTATTTACAAAACTGAAAAACATGCAGCAAAGCAAGATAAGCGTTGTAACATATTAGTAAAACCTACTTTTGCATTACTCTACGATACCTTAGGAATTTCCTAATGAAAAAAGGCAAACAACTTGTACCTAAACAGAATTCTAAAGCTAAATAAATTCAGTAACACAATGGGAAAGTTGAGAATTTTTTTCAGAATTCAGATTTTTTTTATTTAAATAGAGGTTTGCTTAAAATGCAAAAACCAAGTTTCATGAACAAGAAATGTGTTTCTTTAAACAAGGTACAAATTTTTTGCCTGTCTTCCACTCAAGGCGCTACTATTACTTGGAAAATGCAAACAAGGATGTGTTAAGTAATGACAATGAGTGATTTAAAGAGACATTTATCTTTATAAAATGACATTAAGCATGAAATTATTTATTGCTTAAACAGTACACACATTTTGTACATGGATTGCACAGCCATCATCACTATCGAAACCTATATGGGTTTAATATTGAGTAAACAGCAAACCAAAACTAGTTGTCTCTTTAAATTTAAATTTAATATTGTAACCCCCATGCAGAATTTTACAAGCTGCTCACAAGATGACATGAAACTTGTTAATATGGCTTAAAGCAACACACTAAAAATATGGGAAAACGGACTATAACGTAACGTTTTCCTACTATGCATTTTCCATAACAAACAAAAGAAAAAACACAACTTTAGTTTCTGTCAGGCAGACGAAGTCTTTACCTGAACCCTAGGAACAAAAGGCGTTGTTCTTCTACTAAGGCTTTGGCTCTGGTAAGCAAAATTAAAGAAAAAGCAATAAAACAAAACCAAAAAGGACAACACGCTGGAAACTAAAAGACCAAAAGTAAAAACAAAGACACACAACTATTACTTTAAACAGAGCTTTACACCAACAACATATTTATCAAACACAAAGTATTTTAATGCAATGCATAAATTAAATCTGCAAATCTGTTACCAAATCATATCAAAACCCTGTGATGGAAATTCTAGTCTTAGGGAAGTCAGCAGGAATTTTGCCCCTGATTCCCCAGGAGCAAGGATTTCACTTTACAGGTCTATAGATAACATTTAAAATATACTTAGAAATCACATTAACAAAAGGAGCAGGTCAGCAAAGTGTGATTTAAAAGTGGGGTAGGAAACATAAGTTCAGCTTGAGCATCTCTTTCAGGAAGATCGTAGATGCATATTCAGGGACAGAAACAAGGACAGTTCACACACTGAGAGCTTTGGTTGCTCTCTGGAGTAAAGCAAGTAAAGTAAAAGGTTTTCTCTTTTGTGCATCTTTGAGAGACATTTCTACAAAAAGCCATCCTAAATACTTTAAAAATGATTAAAAGAAAGTTAGCGCTATGTGGTACTGGCATTACATGGGGGCAGGTACAATCAATGTGCTTCAATTCTCTAGCAACCATGACAGAAATTATACATAGTATAAAACCCTTGCATGAAATGGGATCTAGAGCATTTTTGCAAACTTAGTTGTAATGCTTCAGACCACATACAACCTTGTGGCTTCCAGTGGCTACATCAAAACTTCATTAGTACAGGAAACACTCCCAAGTTCCTGGACTAGCTACAAACTCCTAACACTCTCCATCTTCAGATTAGGGTGACAGCTAATGGAGTGGGACAGAAAGGGTACTGAGTATGGGGTATGGACAGGAACAGGAACAGGTGTTGGTCCTCAGAGGGCCAGGGAAATTGGGGAACAGGAGCACGGAGGTAGGTCAAAACAACCACAGCAATCTGACATACTTGAATCTCCTTTACTTCCCTCCCTGCTCAGTTTTCCTAAGATTATTGATCTATTTCAAAGGGATGGAAAGAAGCTACTGCTTAATATTCACTTCCCTACAAAATGTACCCAAAGTATGGAGATAGGCAGTATGATGATGGTTCTGTCACCCTCCTTGCTTATTTGGCATGCACAGATGCTGGAGAAATCTGTTCCACAAAATGTGTGAAGTAATCTGTTCTCACGCCAAAGCAAGAGGACATATAAAAAAATTTGACAGTCTGGATCATGGGTTTTGTCTGATGTGCTCCTGTGCTCTGCGAGGTGCAGCAGCTGCACACTCCCCCCATCCCCCTGCACAGGCATAGCCCAAAATCTGGATGCCAGAATTTGACCTACTCACATATAATAAAAGTAGATTTTCATCTTGCTTCTGCTCCTTATTACAAGAGAAATACAGGTATTCCAGAATATTGCAATCCTAAAAGGGATAGAATATCTCCCACTGTGCACGAAGGACCCTCACCTGCCATACTGTGCCTTGGAAATGAAGGGCCATAGACACATTGTGTGCACTACCTAGAACTTCCCAGGCTTGGATGTTAGAGCAACAGCAATTTACTTGTGTAGAGGTAGAAAGAGGCGAAAAGAAAGGGGAAAAGGAAAAGGTGAAAGGGGGAAGGGGAACACATCTCATACTTGACCTCATCCCCCCAGTATGCTGACATATTATGTCCTTCACAATGTACAATATCCGTTTTCTAATATGTTATAGATAATACAACTATGATTAATATACCTGTATTTTTATTGCTTTATAAACTGAATATGTATCAAAAATCTACTGAAGTATTCTGTGGTTCAACTGTATAAATAAATACAGTAATTTTATAAATGACATCTCTCTTCTGTTAGAATTTCCACCAGTACAAAAATGAAATACCGTAATTTTATACCTGTCTCCATATACATGTTCTTCTAGTCATGTTATCAGTGTCTAAACCTAATTATTGCAAAAGTATTCCATGTTATACTTATCATGCAGTACTGAAAAAGTAGCCAGAATGCAGTAATGAAAAATAGCACCAACACACAAAGAATACTTTTTCAAAATGATATAAAAGGAAAAACAAATCAGTGAAAAACCACAGAAACAGGGACCAGACAAAGCAAATAATAATAAAACAATAATTGCAATAACAGTCAGATACTCCCCTGAAAGAACAATGTGGGTCAAAAATGCCATAAAATAAACTGCACAGAATACACATGGAATACAGATAAATTATTTATATACCTTAGTAAATTATATACACAATAGTTTATTGTAGCAGCACATAAGGTGTTCAATTAACTATGTAGTTGGGCAGAATAATTATTAATGGAAAGAAGGTTTCCTAGCTACGTGAGATCATTTGCTTCATGGGAAATCCTATTAGCCAGCTCTGTGCTGTCTAACTGCACCAAAAGAAAACAGAGCCAACACAAAGGAAAACACAGAAGACCGAACATCCCTGAACAACAGAGAGGCACCACTGCAGCTAAACTCGCTAAGACGATACGGATCATGAAGAAACACACTCCAAAAAACTACTTATATATAAACCCTTTAAGAATCTGTAGCATTGTCTGAATAAGGATGCATATATGCAAGTATTTATTCAAATACTTCAGACCTCTACCCGAACTGTAGGTATCTCCGCTTCTGCCTTGTATCTCACAACCTATTGCATGCAGCTGCCCCAACAATGGCCTATGAGGACTACATGGTATTGTCCAAAAGTACTGAAAATACAGGAAACACTTCTAAAATCTTGCCTATTGTCCATTCCCTCAGATCCACCACACCTCTCTGAATTCATCCACCATCGCCCAGAATGTCAACTGACCCACCACTTCTACAAAGAACAGCATCCTGTTCTCATCTACTGCCAGGGCTCTGCAGTTGTTCTTCTGCCTAGGCACTCACCATGAAGAGCACATTCTCAACCACATTTGGAATTTAGTATGTCCTTCCATTTTCATCTTACTCAGCTATTTCGAACAAATGAGTGTCCATCAACTGTTCTGTCAGAAAAGAGCTGTTCTGTCAGAAAAAAACCATGAAAACCTAAAATACAGAAGCTTGTCCATTTTTCAGTATTCAAACTAAAACATTTTTCTGGAACTTCGTAAGATTTTTAAAACTCATTTTTTCTCTATTAATTCACTTTTGCTAAAAGTCCAAAATTAGAAGATCTTGTAGTTCATTCTAATTTTTCAAAACATCTCCGACTCTACAAAGAGTTGTTTTTTTCATTAACCTTCCAAATTTTTAAAACTTTTTAAAGTTATGAAAAACCAAAATTCTAAAGTGAACGAAAAACTATTCACTGCATTACCTTCAAGTCACATAAACTCCCAATTTTGTAAAGTCAAAAAAATTGTGATTTTTCAAAACTAACTTAATATACCAGATGAAAAGAAATAACAGAAATTTACTGGTTTGAAAAAACACTTCCTGTAGAATACTTCAATTCTCTTAAAGTCATCTTTTTCTAAAAAATATTTTAGCCTGCACATTTCAATTTGCCCAGTTAGGCGCCAAGTTGTTATCTATCCACACCATCTTCAGACATTGCAACAACCACCCTTCCTCACAAAGCAAAAGATTTAGCACTAACCTCCCAAAGCCTTGAGCCAACAGCAGCAGGAGCTGGGTTGTGCCATTAACACGATAACATGAATTACAGATATTTCCAACTTCTCTTTAGCTGGTGAGTTAAGATAGGTATCCAAATTTTCAAACTGTCTACTGATGTTAGGTGTCTACATTGGGACTTTAATTTAAAGAGTTACTGAGCATTTCTGACCTCAGTGTCAGTCAACTGGAGCTGCATGTGCTCAAATATCAGCTGCTTTCTGAGGGAAACAAGGATATTGTGTAGTAGGGATTACTGTATATAGTTGCATACAGTCTGTAAGGAAGTACAAAGAGGACAAATGCAGGAAAGCCCTTTAAATGTGACCTAACACCATTTGGTTTCCTTTGATGGAAAGAAAGGCTATCAACTTTATTAATAAAGACACACGAAATAGGAATGAGGCCTATTCAGTTAAACACTGAATTTATATGCCATTCGGAGACATAAAACTTTGAATTCTGCTATTCTCAATAAATTAGAATACACCTCCAAATCTCCTGATGCTATTCTTATTCATCTCAAAGTGCAATATCCAATCAAACCACAAAATCAACAGACTTAACTCACTTTACTAATAAATCCTAATCTTAAACTCCTGAATATTTTGTTTCTGAAACTAAGAAAGTGAAGAAGTCAGTTCTGTGTGGTTCCTATTTGGATCTCTGTGCCTTGGATGTCTGAGCAGTTAACTCTGGATCCTGAATTTCATGCTGTGAACTAGAAACCGAAACTTTCTGACAACCTAATCTTTTATGAGATTTAGCCAAAAGAGATTTCTTTCCCCCCTGCTTCCACTGTCAACAATTTTTGCTGTCTTGTAAAACTAAATTGGTTTTCAGAAACCTTGATCTGTGTATTTTGACAGTTCATGTTCAGGTTCCCTTGTCATTGTAATTTGTGCAAAGCATTCTGCACTCTGCAGTCAAGATTTCTAGTTTTCCATTTATCCAAAGAATTGAGTCTTTCAAAGTAGTTACATACAACAGTTACAGAAAATTAAAATTATATAGTATAGATGGCTGGTCTGATGAGCAAAACAAATAATGTCTCATGCATTGCAAATGGAGCCAACGTGGCTGCTGAACAGACAGAAAAATATTTCTTCCTCTCCTCTACCAATACCGTTAACCATTTCTATGAGACCTATACACAGTCTGCTTAGATTTTATGCACATTTTTATGCTGCACTCGTTATCTTAGCACAAACACCTTGGAAGAAAAACGAATGTGACATTTCTCAAACTTGTTTAACACCGATTTTGCACTGGTTCCATTCCATTTTCCTCTCCTATTCAACATGTACCAGGCCACAACGGAGCACTTTTTGGAAAATCACACTTCGGAGTTGTAAATGACACAGAAAGGTGGACACAACCCAAGTTCTTCAGTTTAGTACAAAAAAATTACCTTTTTAAAGAAAACATTCAGGTAATGAACTTTGTTCTCAATGAGAGCGAAGAACAAAAGTGAGTAACACTGGTACAAAGAATTCAACATTAGTAAACAATCAAAGGGATACCTGGGGAAAGGTATATATGAAAACTAGTGCATAAGAAATAGATAATACTAATGTTCAAGCAAACAGGTAATAAAATCTACCAACTGTACATGTAATTGTTACAGTTGAAAAAGTATATACACTCAACAGCACAAACATAACTGGAGGCAATATTAGGCCTTTCTAAAAATTTGACTCTACCAGTCTAGTTTACTAGATATATATATATACACACACATATATATATGTATAATTCAACATACAGAAAATTTCAAAAAGCTAGTAAAATGGAACTATGGCGCTGCCTACGCTGAGATATATATATAATCAACCAGAAAACATAGCTAGTTTAGCAAGAAATTTGTGTTAGAGGTAGCTTGATCTCTGCAGTGAGAGTTGTATATGCTGCAAAAAGCACAACACTAATATTAATGAAATGTTTACATACTGAAAGTTGTCCAGACAAGAACTGTGGAACATCCCTTAACATGCCAGGACTCATAGGAGAAGTCACTGAAATAGAAGGTCGGTCCATTTTTTGAGATTCAAATGAACTAGAGCCTGTAATTATAAATAAAAATATTTTATAAATAGTAGCACTTATGCATTTTTCACAATGTTCTTTAAAGAAAAATTGTAGAAATATAACCAAACATATAATACAATTGTCATAAATATTATGGTTTTATCTATTTAAAATTAAAAAAAATAATACCCAATTTTTGGTGCTCAGATGCAATCAAATGCTTTTCAAGCTTCTTATAGCTGCAAAATATCATCTGAAGCATATAGAACAAAAAATATTTCATTCAAATATTTCTGACTAATTATGTCAGTAAGTTGAAGGCCCAAAATTCCGAAATAGTAAAGTTATTTTTCGCTTTGACCATTTTAGATTTGTCAAAGGAATTCAGCTTTCTGAAGGACACTTATTATCTTATACAGTCAGATAAATTTTTAATTAATTTTTACAAAAACATCAAGATGCACATAATGTTTTTTGTGCATTTTATTTCAAATCTATAAGGTCTGCAAACTGTCAGAGGACAAGTTTTGACATAAAACACAGAGGAAAATTGAAGTATTTTTATAAATACAAAAGACATTCCACATCTCACAAAACATAAAATGAATTTTATTTTAAGACTTGGCTGATCAGTGAAAAGTTATTGAAGGAGTATTTTATATTACCATAATCAAGTTTATGCCACCCCATTTATTCATGGCTCCTATTATAAAAGAGTTCTAAAACAATGATAAAAAATAACTCCAGGCTGAAATCCATCTTATCAGATCTAAGCCAAAGAACAAGTTATTTTTCCCCACAAGAAATACTGTTTTTGATGATTTAAAGAGTTCTGAATGTTTCTAATAAAGTAGAAGTGTTCTGATTTCAAAGTATCCATCTCTCACATTGTAAATAAAGAACACTTCATCCCCATTTTTAGTTTATAACGTTCAATTGAAATGCAAAGCAACAAAACAGGAAATTAAAATTTACTATTAATGTTCTTGTGTATTAGTTAGAATTATGTTTTTCTTTTCAAACAAAAATAGCCTAAGCTTATAATCAAATGTCAAACCTAAATCAAAATATCCTGACTTTTCATAGTTTATTATATAACAAAGGTAGATAGATAATGCAGTAAGATGACATATTGAGACAAATACAGACAAAGAGACGAGAGCTATACTGACTGTAGATGACATTTTTCAATCTATTTGTGCTTACATAAAAGAGAGAGAAGATTTTCCTACCCCACAATTGAAACTTACTGGACTCCAGCTGTGCATGTGTGCTGTCAGGTATTCTGGGAATGTCCCTGAAATCAGGAAAAGACAGGCTGATCTTTTATCTAACAAGCATGTTCAAATTTCAGTTACACTATAACACTTCTCAAGCCACCATGGAATGCCTCAGGAAAGGCGGATGATCTACTGGTTGTCTTCAGCTATGGGGAAAACTTATCTTTTGTTCAGTATAAATAGCTTCAGCGGCAAATTAAAGCCTACAGAACAAGTGGTTTGGTGAATGAAGGAGGGAGGCTGCACAATCCCAAATTAAATCAGTAAATAAAAAAACCAGCAATCGCAGTGTTAATGGTAGACAAAAACTGTGAGTAGTAGACTTTATTATGACATTATACATTAATTCAGGCTATAAGACCCTCACTCAAACATACTAGACTGCCAGTAACGGCTATCCCAGTATCTCCTTTAGTGTCCTTGAACTCCAAATTTGGACAATCTTACCTTTCCCATGACTAAATAAGATGAGCAATTTCATTTGGCAAAATTGCATACTTGCATATCCATGAGAGGTTGCATCACCTGTATTAAATTGTGTGGACAGCTATATAATTTTAAAACACTCAGTCCTAATAACTAAGTATCTCATTACGCCCACCCGCCTCCCAGAGGAACATATTCTTCCTATGAGGGGGAAACATTACTGTATGCTAATAAAAACTATCAATATGCTAATAAATCATTTTGGAGGTATTTGAGCAAAACCAAGCAAGCTAAAGAGCTTCAGCTTTGAGTCACATCAAGAACACTATTTAGTATCACGGTATGTGCTGCAGTTGGATTCTTCAAGGTTGCGTTGGGTGTTGGTGGGGCGGCCTCTGCGAGAAGAAGCCGGGGCTGCCCCAGGCCAGACACATCCCCACAGACAGCAAAGTCAGAGAAGGAGGGGAGGAGAAGTGAGTGCAATGCCCCTTCCCCATCCTCCTGTGCTGCTTGGCCGGAAGGGCAGGCAGAAAAGCCAGGAACGAAGGAGTGAATTTGAGCCTGGGAAGAAGAGGGGTGAGGGGAAGGTGGTTTTAATTTTGCTTTTATTTCCACTATCCTATTCTCTTATTAATTCCTAATAAATTAAATTAATCTTCCCTAAGTCAAGTTGCTTTTGCCCATGATGGTAATTGCTGAGAGATCTTCCCATCCTTGTCTTGACCCATGGTTTTTTCCATCTTATATTCTCCCCCTGTCCAGACTAAGGAGGGGAAGGGAGAGAGCAGCTGGGTGGGCACTCGATGACAAGCCAAGGTCAACCCACCACAAAGGTATATGAGTAGGAAGGGGAAGTTTAAAATGCTTTCAGTGATATCTACTGTCTCATACAATGAAAAAAAAAAAAAAAAAAAAAGTCTTCACTATATATAAATGAAACTTATCTAGTTACTTTTTGGTATACTATTTCCAAACATTTTCCAAGACTCCCTAGGCTTTACTACACAGATTGAGGAAAGTTCCCAAGTGAATTGATGCACAATACTTGATAATTCATATGAATCAGAAGGCTGATTCTGTAACTGCTTGCTGTAGACAAGGAAAAAAACCACTGTCTCTGTTGTTAGGAGGCAAAACTAGTCAGAAACCTACCAGGTCTATTAAAGAATTAAATACTTAAGTTTGCATATTTGATAGACATAGAATTTATAAAGCGACCCAATACTCACTCATTATTTTACCCAGAAAAACACCCCTGAGCCCAACTTGCAATTTCTAAAAAGTATTTCTATCATATGGGTTTGAGAAGAAAACCTTAAAAACACTTATCATTGTGAATAGATTGCACGGTAGTGTAAATAATATTCTTACAAGGAACCCTCACTGAGATAAAGCAGAAGCAGTTTTAGGCATCTCTTTACATTTTAAGATACATTCCGCTGCAAGCAGATTATATAGAATAATTAATAGAACACAATGCATCATTGCTTCCAAATTCAAAACAGTAGAAACTATGAAATTAACATGCATTTTAAACTAACTATATCTGAGAATTAGAAAGCAGAAAATAGGTAAACTCTTATATACAAGAGACAACTACTTCACACAGAATAGAAACTTGACCATTAATTTTTATTTCAAGATAGAAAAAGGGATAAATTGCATGCCAGAATGGTACGGTTTTTTTAAATGAGCTTTCCATTTTATCTTCCTTTATCAGCTTAGCTTGTCATCTTCAGTTTTTATAGCAGTCTGCCCATAATAAAATGAAGAAGAACTAACAATACTGTTTACTGGAATTTTCTTTTGTATTCAGAATATGAGGATGTGACAATAGGTTCTCTTTCTCAGCCAAGTTAATTGCCAGTAACTGTCTGAAGATTTCTGACACGAGACCATCAAGAGACTCACTTTGTAAGTAACAGGATATACCTCAATGCAAAAGTGAAAACCTTCAAGTGGGCATCAATTATTCTAATTGAAGTAATTATCACTTCTGACATCTGGTAAATCTGAACTTTTAATGATTTTAAATACATTGAAACTTTATTCCCTGGAGCAGAACACAGACCTACGGTATTATTTTTCCTTGGGCAAGCATAAGATACTAATTTCTATAGTCCATTTGATTATGACCTGAAATCTTCTAAACTGAGAAAATAATATGGTATTTGCAGTTTATTAGCTCAAGCATCATGAAAAACATTTATGAAGTCATATTGTCAATGTCAAAATCCAAAGAGGTATATACATCTAACCAGAATCTAAAATCTTACCAACTTGCAGAAAGTATTCATCACTGAGACTTCGGTTATGAACCCATTTAGACTAGTAACTGGCGTTTTGGAAGTGATAACTCTCTTTTACATCTACTGCAAAAAGACACTGGGAATCAAATACACAGAACAACTTTTTTAGGCCTGATCTGGCTCAGTTCTTCACTATGTGGAAAGAAGTTAATGCTGAAAAAGGCATCTTGAGAGCCCACATAACTTTCTTTAGGGATTATAAATGAGCTGCTCTAGTGACAGCAAGTGGAGTACATGGTAACAACAGAAGACATGGTGATAAGGAAGGTAAACAACAGACAATAAAATATAAAAGCACAAGAAAGAATACAGGAAATTTTGCATAATTAATAAAATGCAGAAAGAGGGGAAAAAATTAATATTTTCAAGACATACAGTTCCTTGAAACTTTTGCTAAAAACTTCTGTTTGAGAGACACTGTGAAATAGCTTCCACCTGTATGAAATGAATTTGAAACCTCCTTTTCTGAAACAATACTCTTCTGGTAATGTAGTCTGTCCCTTAGCATTACTATTATACCTACAACTGCCAAGTTAGGCAAAGGTTTTTAAGGACGGGACAGATGATACAGCCTTTACCCGAAAGGGGTTGCAATTCAATATGTATGTAGGAGAAAACCTCTCATCTCACTGACAAGATAAAGGACTTCTTGTTATTATTGAATTTGTTTAAAATTGTCAAACCAATTAAGTTTCTACACGTTGAGTTCCTGATGTGTCAAGCACATGAAGTTCCTATTATAGCTGAACCGATAACAGATTATGGGTTGAATCGGCTGAAATTCCATCTTCAAATTATATGGTTATAGATTTTGTTCTTCCTAATTTTTAGTTGTTACATTACCTGTGTTTCTCATATAAAGGTAAGATAATTGTGTGGATCTTGTACAAAATAAAGGGATAAATATATTTATTACTATATAATCATAGAATACCCAGGTTGGAAGGGATCTTCAAAGATCATCTGGTCCAACCTCATGGGGAAAAGGGAGCCCAGATAAGATTACCTAGCACCTTGTCACGTTGCATCATATACATCATAATAAATTCAGGGCTGGGCAGGGGGGAAGAGAAAATCCTTAGCAACTATAGGCATCTTCAAATTCAGTGATAAGCAAGCCTTTCTTCACAGCCCTGGTGTGATCAGCTATAGAACTTCTGATGAAGAAGTGAAAAAGGGATGGATGTGACTGTGGGATGTAAGAACTTGGAAGAAAAGGAAGAGATGAAGGGGAAATATTCACAGTCTAATATAACAAAGCAACTATAAATTCCCTATTGCTATGCAAGAAAAAATTAAGTTTAGAGATTGAGAGATAGGTCTGAAAGTTAAGAAAACTGGGCCATGTAAAGCACCAAAGAAGTCATCCCACACAGTGCTAGCTATTCATTCAGATATGTTCTCTATTAGATAACAAGAAATAATTTCTTAGATTTCACAGATGAAGATGATGAGAATATGGATTTAAGACTTTCCAAAGCATATTGATTATGTCATTAGCATACTGTATTTTGGAAAAAATTCTGTGTTACAGACTTCCAGTAATTAGAGTTCATCATCAGTTCACAGATCAAATGTGAGTATCTAATTTTATATGTATTATATAAAAATGGGAATAGAGAAGTAAAAATCAAGAGCCAAGAACTGCAACAATAAAGAGCATATTTACAGTTTCGGAGGCAATATAGGCTGGATCACCAACTAAACAAGCACAAAAAGGAATCTATTTTAGACCATATTAGCAGATAGTGCCAGGGACTCTCAGAGAATACAGGATTTCACATCAGCTCTTTTTACTTACTGGTGTGATCTATCATTCTAGCTCTGCTTTTGGTTTACAGAATTTTGCATACAGTTTTACCATTTACAATGTTCATTAATCTGTTTTATATGCTCTGCCCTAGAAGTGAAATTCAGCAACATTTTTATCATATTTAATATGAACATTTATGAAACTACTTACCCTATTGGTCTTGAAACAACAAGCTCCACTTGTGGCTCAGGTTTGGATTCTAAAATGATGTTATACACTTCCTCAAACGTGGCTCCTTGTAGTAGCCTTCCATTCCATTCTAATACTTCATCACCTATAATTTCAGTAATAACACTCTGCTTAGGAAGTCTGCTGTGGACTGTACTTACAAGGACAACTTAAGTCATCCTACTGCCAGTTTACTGCATTGTGAAACCTGTGTTGTAGAACAAGTCTGGAGTCCTTCATGCAGTAAAATCCTGAGTATTAGAAGTTTTCTGCAGCTCAGCTTCAAATACGTAAAGGTCAGCTAAACAATAATATCATCAGTAGGACACCTATTGAATTAGATATAACTCTTACTCGCTCTGGCAGCTGTGGCTTACAGAAATCCCAATGTGCTCTTTAGAAAATGCAGATCTTTAAAACAGCGTATTTCATCAACTTACTATTTTGAAAATCCATTTACCTCTGCAAGTTTAGTATTTAAGGTTCAGATAGCTCTTATGTTAATAGTTAATACTTATTGCACATTCTCCAACCTAGCAATCCATTGTTTGCATGCTGGGATAGAAGCAGTTTCGTAGGTGAGCTGGTTCTGTTCACACATTTGCAATAGCTTGGTTTGCTCTAAATAAATATACACCACAAAATGACTGGGCAGGACATTAGTGGAATATTATTTTGAGTACAAAAACATTTTTCTGGGAAATCAAAATATTAAAATATGATTTTGAAAAATATGAGAATTTATATATTTCACAAAAGCAGCAATTTCAATAACTGAATATCAGGTTGAATTCTGCAGTAGTTCATCACACCTATTTAACATAATTTCTTATCCAATTAAACTTGCTCACTTGTTACCACCTTCAGAAAAGCAATTTAGCAGGATAGATCTATAGCAGATACATACCTGGTCTGAGATGCCCCACTGTATCGGCTAAGCTTCCTTTTTTAACTTTGGTGATAAATGCGCAGAGTCGACCTGATTCAGTCATCTTTCCTCCTACTACCTGTTTCAAAGAGGAAGTATTTTCATAGAATGAAAATGACTTTAAATGACTTAAATGTTCTGCCAACAGAAAGAATTCAATTATTTCCTTGATTTTTTGGTAGCCCAGATAAGACAGATATACGTGAAAAAAATCACCACAGAATGTTGGCTACGACAGGTTATGTTTGTACCTATTCTGTCTACTCAAGTAATTTAAACCCAATGTAAATATAGAATGCTAAAGCTTCTAATCTTTAGCGCATATATATATATAGTATTTCACTGTATTATAATTACCACCCAAAAAAGGTATTAGTCATTAGACTGCTTACTGGAACACTTTTTAACTGAAGACAGATATATTAATGTAATAGAACTCACAACATCCACACTAAGCATCAAATACCTCAATTAATCCAATTCAGGTTGGCTGGGCAAGTCAGATGAAAATACTTGTCATACTGAAGAATTCTCCACAGGAAACTTCAACAAGTTTGACCTTAATATTTATCTTGGAATCAGGAGATTCACAGTATCAGAATCGGTTATAATTGCATAATCTTCAAATTCTTAAGGTTTCTTAATAGTCTTCATATTTGGATTTAAAATCCAGTTTATGTTACTTTCAATAATGTAAATATTTGAAAATTCAGGTTAGGAATAACTAACTGCTGAAAGTCACTCTTTCAGATGGCCATAGAGATTAAAAAGTAGTTACTCTTGAATCTAAACTATTTGTGAATCTCAGTGAAGAGTTCATCTTTATAACAGAAGTTTTTAGAATTTTAGACAGATGTTTAAACAAAAAGTACTGTTAGTGGCACTGTTAGTCGCTTCTCTTGCATTTTCTGACACTAAAACAATAACATGCATACCAGAAGTGATGCTTAACTAGCATCTCCACTGACTTAAAAATAAAATCATTTGTCAGTTAAATAAAAAATTGAAAAATTTCCAAAGCATGTTAGTACATAAGTAACCACACTGATTTAACCCCCATTTAAAGTGTATGACTATAGCCTAATCTGTGTACCCAAAGTGAAGTCAGTAGCATGCTAAGTAGAGAAGGGAGAATTAATCAAACTTTGTAATGATTTCTCACAAGGATGTTGAATCAAAATAAATACATGATTGTTTCTTTTAATGTGTATAATTCATTCATTCTTGTTCTTGTACTGATACTGTTGGAACTGAAAATAGCACCACACAAAAATGAGATCAACATATGAGCTAGAAATACCTTCATAATGTGTTCAAAGAGTAGTGCATCATGAAAAAGATTCAAACACATTACTTTGTGATAATATACAAGAAATATTAAATAATTTTCTGTCTTGTGTATTTAAAATGTAGCAAATCAAATAATCAGAGGGGAAAAACATCCCGAATCAGTCTCTTCCACTTCAATCCAGAGCAGAGTCTGCCAATGTCATTAACTTCCAGGTGTCCCCTTGATCTTCAAAAGAGGTAATTTATTCTTCACATTTCTCCCCTCTTCTGGGAAACAGAAGTTATACCATGCTGCAATCCTTAATACTGAAGAAAGTGACAGGGCTTGGCTTGCCCAGAAAGGATACAATTAGTACCCTGTAGAGCAGACATTCTCAGCAAACTTGTGAAAACATGCCTAGTCTTTCAGAAAAATACAATTTTTTGAGCCTGTCAGGGACCCTGTAAAATTACTCTTGGTAATTAATATAAAAATTTCTCTATATTGTAATTTTGAGAATGATGAGACATTATAGATATCGGTATGCATACTCTATATATTATGATAATGCTTCCATTATAAAGGTAGCTAGTTTAACTGGGAGTTGTTAGTTAGTTCCAAAATTATTCATTACCAACCTTCAATCCAAGCATTGCTCCTGAGTCTCTAGGCACACTTCCATCTTTTAGGCGTTTATTTAACAAAATCCGACCAATGAGACGATCTCCATCTTTGGATGGTTGCCAAGTTACTGGATGCTATCATATGGTGTTAATGGAAAATACAGTGAATAGGACTTTAAAGAAAAATATTTCAGTAATACTTTTTATTTCCTGATATAGCTCAAAAATGCCATGAAAGTATTATGATTACACTGATATTTAATGTAACAGAATAATAGAAAACTGTGCTGGAAAATATTTATCTAGATATATAGTCCATCACAATGTATGTCTAATATTTAATAACATTATCTATTTTACTAAATCCAATTTGTAAATATATAGAATGATCTTTTTGCCTTGATTAGACAGATATAGACAACTATACATAGTTATCTACACACAGTGGCAATCACACCTGCGTACTGACAAAAAAAAAAAAGTAGAGGTCTAGTATAAAAGTAATACTGAAAAAATTTTAACTCAAAACAGAAATTTGATACAAGACATTTCTGCTTTTTCCACTAATCCAAACATGTCAGTTTTCTCTAAAATTGACAAACTTATTCAGTGTTTTACTTTCTCTCAGTAGTAGTATATAAAAATTATAGAATACATTAAACGATATAGTCATTATCCTATTTAAATGTATAATTTCTTTCTTGGAATAATTACTTCACATATGAAGCACAGTCACAGTGAACGTTATTATTCCATTACTATATATGGGCACAGTTATACTTGTATATTGGCATAATTAATAAAATTTTAACATTTTATTTTGTGTAATCATAGTACTTTTTCACAGAAAACTACTATTTCATGCTCTATTTCATGCAAAATTAGCAGGCACAGACAAATCTGCTCCCATTACAACTAATAACTCTAAAAAGATTCATCATAATCTCCACCAAACAGAAAGCAAAAATAAAAAATACCAAAGCAGATGGCAAAGCCTTTAATTCTGCACAATACTGCACAAAAATGGCATGGCAACAAAACAAAAGAACAACCATGACAGTGAAAGGGAAAAAAGAAAAACAACTTTTCTGTGCAGAGAGACCCAATTTTCTCCCTTTTTCACCTGGGGTTTAAACTATTAATTTAATTTCAGCCCCAGGAGTTTGAACACAGTAAATCAAGTAAGCCAATCAGTAGAATCCTTATTGTTAATTACTTTATACTTGAAGGTAATACCACGATATGCTATTATGCAACCGTAAGAACATTCCTTTATGCCTCTCAATTTTTTTTCTTAGGCTGCCAAACAGTAAAAGCTGCAAGCATGCAGAGACTTTTCATTTGTTTTTCTTTTCTGCACCTTAAGAAAAGCTACATTGTCTCTAGAAACACCCTATCTCTTATTTTATGCACTATTTTAATGAGTGACAGATAGCAAACAAAGACCAAATGAGCAGGTTAAAATGCAGGTTCCGTAATCTCAGTACCTTCTCGCTATGGCTATGTTCCTCGTTTAGAGTTGTGCTACTACACGTATCTACCCCAGAGTCTTTTATCTGAGGCTCAGACCATTCCAAGTCCTCTTCCAAAGAGTGGCCACCAAAGCACACCATTTTCTTTTGCCTCTGGGATAAGGTGTTAGAATCCGACAAAACTGCCTGCTCACTAGTTTTTCTTTTTCCCCTTTGACTGTCCCCTATAGGTGTGGGATAAAAAAAAGGATACAAAAAAGAAAACATGCAAAGGTGTAAATAAAACAAAGGAAATGTGAAATGATAAAGGAAACTAAATGGTAAGGCTCCACATGTCTCACCAAAGACATTGGGGATGCCTCACTGCTATGCCAAGACGTATGGTCCAACCAGTTGTAATCCATGTCTCCTGCGAGAATCAGACAGACAAGATAGTGCAGTAAAGGAAAGGTGAAAGAAAGGACAGACAAAGATACAGTAAAATTGTAGAGACTTCTGATTATCCTATCTGATTCATAACCTCTGCTAGCAGGACTTGCAAAGTGCTTCCAAGAAAAATATAAGGCTCCGACAACAGAGTACACAGAATATGAAATACAGTGAAGAAGGAGGTACATTTGTGTGTGTCTATGTGTGCATAAAATTATGTACAGTATAAAGCGTCATTGCTTCAGAGTTTTTAACTGTTTCTATAAAAATACTTATAGTAAATTAAATGAAAATGCAAATTGTATTGTATTCCTAATAAAATTTTCAGGAAGAAAAACATCTGACTATGGAATGAGTTTTCATCTCAAGAAACAGTTTTGTCTCCAGGAACGTATTTCTTTGCTTTTCTAACACAAACTAGTATTTATTCTAATCACTTTAATAAAATACTTAAAACAATGGTATTCTATATTCAACTGTACAGTAGATGATGTTTTAAGGATGGTTAAATGATCTGTTAAATATTATACATGGGTAAAAAAACCAAATATAGAAACTATTTTTAGAATAAAAACCATATGAACTTTGTTTGAAATTCCCAGAGAAATGTCCACTGGTTAAATATCAGGAAAAATTCTAGTAAGTACAGTACTTCATAAACGGGAATAAATGTGTAGCGTTTTTACAAAATATATATGTATTTTATAGAATCAAAATTTAACCTGTATGGCAGAAACATAGTAAGAAGAAAGGTTTAAAAACAGTTTTAAAGAAAAGGTCTAAATTAATGTTGCTGTCCATAGAACTGGAGAGTGACTTATGAATTTCAATAAAACAATCTCTTTTATGTAGGTAATTTAAATTGTAAATTATGCCCACACATTTTGCATTATTATATTTCTCTCCATTTTTTTCCCCCACCATTGCTACTACACGTTACGTGAAAAGTATTTTGTTTCTACATGCTACATAATATTTTGATACAGAATTTTTGATGCAGAAAAAAATGTTGACTTCTCTGTTGAATTTAACTTCCAAAAGAATCACGGAATGAGTCAGGTTGAAAGGGACCTTAAAGATCATCTAGTTCCAACCTCCCTGTCACAAGCAAGGACACCTCCCACTAGACCAGGTTAAAAAAACAAACAAAAAAACCCCAAAAAAACCAAACCAAAACAACAACAACAACAGCAAAAAAACCCCAAAAAACAAAAAACCAAACCAACATCCACTAAACAAAAGAAGTAGTGAAGTAGTTCTGGGTTTTTTTCAGCACAGACTACAAATGACATTTTTCTGTTTCCAGTACTTCAGATCCTACTTTGACATTGCTCAACCTCTTCCCCTGAAACTACATCAATAAATTGGTGAAATGTAGCTAATAGGTCAAATACGGTCTTAACAGTTGTCTAGATAACTGTGTACAGAGAGGACGTGAAGATACAGCTCCATAAAATAAGCTATGTAAGCTAAGACATGCTTTAGAAAAGTAAAATACAGTCTCCTCAGAGGGATATCATGTACAATGAGAAATAAGATCCTTTTTAACTTGTTTTCTCCTAATATATAGACTTGCATATGCTATATGAAAAAAAAAAAATCAAGCCTCATTTTTATTTTAAAGAGGGAAACGTACAGAATACAAAGGTATTTTCAAAAAGACACTTTGAACTTGGTCCCTTGCATTTTGCAGAAATATTGTAGCATATTAAATATCCTTTGATTTCATAAAAAGTTTCATTTTGAAGCATTAATTCATATTTTCTAAGTAATAAAAAGGTCTGCTGTAAATGTACTGTGGTTTTGATTCTTGAAAGAAAGATAACATTTTAAAACAGGAAATTATCACCAAAAGTGTTTTCTCATGACTGTTAACATCTTGACTGCATTTCAGATAAAAGCGTGGCCAACCTGCTAGAGGGAAAAGAAATACTCTTCTGAAAGCTAATAACATTTTGCAAAACGTACTTCTGCCATGGAATTTCCAGTGCTGTCTTACTTCTGCCTCCAAAGACACTGCTTCAGGGGAACTGAGTGAAATCATCAGTGAGCTCATGAAAATCTAGCCTTTTGCATAAATATACATTTAGAGATATCCAGAAGTAACAAGAGTTCCAGTCTACATATTGACTGTTTCACAAATCCTGGTTTTAAAATATATTTTTTAATGGACCGTGATGAAAACTCATCTCGTTATAGTAATGACTTCTCAGCTGTGATTGCATGAACATGAGCCCATACTGTTTTTTCCCAGCAGACGTTCTGTGTCATCAATACAACCAAAACCCAAAGTCTGCCTAAAATGTTGTAATTGCATTCCCTATAATTTGGCATCTAATTCTAAGATCAGGGCACTGAAATAAAATGGGCTTTATAATCAGAACAGTTAAAACTGATCATTCTCCCTGATTCTAATTCATGACTTTTGCTGAGAAATGGTGTATTATCATTGAAATTACTAAATTTAAATGTTTATATCTACCATTCGGCATTAAGATTCTACCACCACAAATTACTGGCCATTTTTTAAGGTTTTAAAATTCTCAGCAACAACCTTGACTATCACTGATAATCCAAAAGAAGCCACCAGAAAGGAATCCAGGAATATAGCTTTTATTTCCTTGTGGTTCTACAATGAACACAGGACTTCACCTGTACTTTATGAAACCCGTCATGGCATTGCCAGTTCTCCTATTCACGCATTTTCCAATATCAACTACACAGTTTTGTATGAGCTTGTCAAGAGCAAGGATTCCTATCAAACTGAACTTTCACTTCTGTGTCTACATAGAAAATAATTTCTTAAAAATAGGAAAATAAGTTATTGAAAAGTTGAGGACCCCGAGATATAACGACTATACACATATTCCCACTACAAATGTGCATATACCTAGTCACCAAAACCAGTCCAATCTTCACTTGCTACTTGTGTGTCCACAATATGTGCATATAGGCATACAAATACTCCAATTAGCTTACAGTAACTGTACTTTTCAGTACAGACATGCTGTACATATGTAAATTTATCCTATAGGTGTTTATGTGAGCAAATGTTGAGCAGTGTTGGGCTCTAACAGTCTGGCATCTGCACACCCACATTTGAGACATACACACTGACTTTCAGTTAGAAAAAGAAATACTGGATCTATTTTTTTAACAAAGCTATCCAAAATAGTAATCTACATACCTTAATGCATACAATAATATGTAATATCACACATTATGTAAGTTATTGAGAGTGATAAATTATTGAAAGTGATAACTTAAAAATTTTAATACTTCCCATTATACAGTAAAAATAAAATACATTAGTTATTTTCCTGCTGCAGAACTTCCAACTTCTCTCCACTTTCAGGAAAAAAAAAAAATCTCTTGAAGTAAACCTTTTTACATCCTGTTTGCGAAATTTTGCAGCCAACTCTCAAATAATTGAATCTAGACACTTCTGATTCTTCTCCACAAAAGCAGGTTATTTATTGTACAGATCTGTACCTCTGAATTAGTAAGCCTATGTTTCTCTTACAATCAGTGAAGGCAAACAGAACTTTTTAAGGTGTGGTTCAATCGACCTATTTTAGATTCTTCCTGGTGAGATAAATCATCCCTTTGTTGTACCCAAAATTTCTCCTCCACTGCTTATAAAGAAGGTCTCAGTGATTCATTGAGAGGGTCATCATCTTTTCATCAGGAGAATCCTAATGCCTAAACTATTATTTTGACACAGCCTCAACTATTTGTTTACATGTCCAAGAAAATACCAAAATCATCACAAATTCAGGACTCTTCAAGTTCTCATTCAAAGCAAGTCTACTGCACTGATTTTACTCAACTAGAAAGGCAAAATATCTCTTTTAATATGCCATTTCAACAGGGTAACATATAGTCTCTTTTTCACTCTTCATCTTAGCATGTGGAAAAAAATGATCTCTGGACCAGTTTCTCTGTTCAAGTCTTTAAACACATGTCCCAGGCTCATCTGCTGGTTTAACTGATCTCTGCTTGCTAAAAAGCTTTCCACGAGTCCTCTCACCCATGTATTACTCTATGGTGCACCCATAAGTATGTGTCCAAGATTAGACACATTTACATCAGTATATCCGAGGCATTAGCACGTAGAAATTTCTTAAATATTAAAAGATCGAGTTATTTTGCAGCAATAGTTAATCTTTCTCAAATGGTAAACCCTGAACCTAAACCTGCACAGAGGAACACATGCAAAGCTGAGACTGGTGTCCAATCAAATCATTCCCACTTCTTGCTCTACTATTTTCCCTTTTCTACTTTTCAGTCAAGATGTAAAAAGCTGACTTTCTTTTTAATTCAGTTCTGTCTCACAGTAAATACCAATTATTCAAAATTAATATTATAAAAAATAAGCAACAACTCCATCCAAAGATTGTTTTGTTCATATATGTATTCTTTTTTTCCATTAAAATATGTAGTTATAATGTTTTTAAAAAATTGTCATAGAAATTAGAGATGATAAAACCCTTATAGATCATCTAAGTTTTGCCATTAACACTGCATTAAGTCATATAAATGACAGGTCTAAATACTATAAAAGTTAATAAAATTCAATCAAACTATTATTAATAAAATATTTAAATATATGAAAATATATCCAGGATGACTGTCTGAAAGCCTTGTAGCGTATTAAATTTCTATGAGAGACATATATTGCTTAGTACACCCACATCTTCTTGAGGTACAATGAATGACTTGGTAATATCACCGGACACAAATTTTTCAGTGCAAGTTCAATAAATATTAAAATCTTCATTGGGTAAAAGATTTCACTAATCTTGTAAAATTAAAAGGAATACACCTAAGACACATAGTTCTCTGTTCTGCAACAAGGACACTGTAGTTTTAATTCTGGCTACCAGAGAAGGCAGTTGCTGGTCTCTTAGATATTTCTTTTCCACAACAGTAGATGTTTTATTATTGAGAATATGTGCACTTAGGGTGTGCAGCAAAAAT